GGGGACACAAGTGTGACTGGCCCAATAGTGAGCCCATCGTGAGCCAACAGTGACACAAGTGTGACCCAAAGACCCAGCAGCAACACAGGGGGGTCACAACGGGAACACAAGGGTGACTGGCCCAATAGTGAGCCCATATGACACAAGTGTGACCCAAAGACCCAACAGTGACACAATGGGGACACAACAGGGACACAAGTGTGACTGGCCCAACAGTGAGCCAATCGTGAACCAATAGTGACACAAGTGTGACCCAATGTCCCAACAGTGAGCCAAGAGTGACCCGAAGTGACACAATGGTGACCCAGCGGCGACCCAACGACCCAACAGCGCTCCAACAGCGACCCAGCGGCGACCCAAGGTGACAGAAGGGCCCAACAGTGACCCCGCGGTGACAAAACGGTGACAAAATGGTGACACAATGGTGACCCCACGGTGCCCCAAGGAGCCCCACTGCGCGCTCACAGCTCCGCTCACCTCTCCCAGTTTGTCCAGTTTGACGTACGTCTCCAGTTTGCCGAAGCCAATCTCCGACTGCGGGGGGACAGCGAGAGTGGGATCATACTGGGATGGACTGGGAGGGACTGGGATGGATTGGGAGGGACTGGGAGGGAGTGGGAGGGCACGGGGATGGACTGGAAGGGGACAGGCAGGGACTGGGATATACTGGGAGGGCACTGGGATGAACTGGAAGGGAAATGGGATGGACTGGGAGAGACCGGGATATACTGGGAGGGAACTGGGATGCACTGGGAGGGCACCGGAATGTATTGGGATGGACTGGGAGGAAACTGGGATGGACTGGGAGGGACTGGGAGGGACTGAGATGTACTGGTAGGGACTGGAGGGAGCTGGGAGATACTGGAATGCACTGGGAGGGACTGGGATACAGCGGTACGGACTGGGACAGACTGCGGTGCATTAGGAGGTAACTGGGATACACTGGGATATACTGGGATGAACTGGGATATACAGGAATGGACTGGGACACACAGGGCTGTACTGGGCCTTACGGGATCATACTGGGATCTACTGGGCCATACTGGGCTGTGCTGGGCCATACTGGAATGCAATAGAACGTACTGGGCCGTTCTGACCCATACTGGGCTATAATGGGGCGCACTGAGACATACTGGGCTGTACTGGGATTGACTGGGCCGTACTGGGCCATAGTGACCCATACTGGGCTATAATGGGACGTACTGGGACATACTGGGCTGTACTGGGCCATACTGGGCTGTACTGGGCCATAGCGACCCATACTGGGCTGTACTGGGATTGTACTGGGCCGTACTGGGCCATACCAACTCATACTGGGCTATAATGGGATGTACTGGGACGTACTGGGCCATACTGGGCTGTGCTGGGCCATACTGGAATGCATTGGGCTGTACTGGGCCGTACTGGGCCATAGTGACCCATACTGGGCTGTAATGGGACGCACTGGGACATACTGGGCTGTGCAGGGATTGACTGGGCCGTACTGGGCCATAGTGACCCATACTGGGCTGTACCGGGCCGTACCAGTTTCTACCGGCCTGTACCGCCCCATACCAGTTCATACTGGTCCGTACTGGTTCGTACTGGTTTGCAGGGGACGCACCAGCGAGACGCGGCGCAGGCGGCGGCTGAGCGGGGACGGCAGCACCAGGCGCTGCAGGCAGCCCTCGGGGAGCCGGATGTCGGCCGGCAGCGAGAGCCGCTTGTTGATGTCCTGCGGGCAGCCAGACCCCAAACCCTGAGACCCCCGAGACCCCCTGAACCCCCAAAGACCCCCCAGGGCCCCCTAAGGTGCCCCAAATCTGCCCCAAACCCCACAAATCCCCCCATGGGTCCGTCCAAATTCCCCAAGAACCCCCAAGACCCCCCCCCCAAATCACCCCACAAAAAGACCCCCCAGGACCCCCCTAAAGCCCCCCAACCCCCCCAAGACCCCTCAAATCCCCCCCGAGGCCCCCTGAGACCCCCCAAAATCACCCCAAACTCCAATCAAGACCCCCAAGACTGACCCAGGACTCCCAAGACCCCCCCAAATCCCCGCAAGGCTCCCCCAGATCCCCACCAAATCCCCCCCAGAACCCCCTAGGACCCCCCAAGTCTCCCCAAGACCCCAAAACAGACACCCAAGACCCCCCAAACCCCCCCCAAATGCCCCCCTGGACCCCCCAAATGCCCCTCAAATCCCCCCGAGACCCCCTAGGACGCCCAAATCCCCCAGTACCCCCCCAAAACCCCCCTAAAGCTCCCTAAATCCCCTCAAGACCCCCCCCC